CCAAGGGGGGTTTTAAAAGGTTCCCCCATCCCCGGTTAAAATTGGGGCACCCCCCCCCCCCCCCCCCACACGCGCGCAGACGGATAGAATTCGCGCGCAAAGCCGCAGCAGAGCAGAGGCAGAGACAGAGGCAGAGACAGAGGCAGAGACAGAGGCAGAGACAGAGAGAGAGACAGAGAAAGAGAGAGACAGAGACAGAGACAGAGACAGAGACAGAGACAGAGACAGAGACAGAGACAGAGAAAGACAGAGACAGAGACAGAGACAGAGAAAGACAGAGACAGAGACAGAGACAGAGACAGAGACAGAGACAGAGACAGACAGAGAGAGCCAAAAGCGTGACACCCGAACGTTACGTTTCATACGTTTCGTGTGTGTGTGTGTGTTCCAAATGTTTCAGGAATTTCTTTTGTTTTCTCTCTCTCTCTTTTTTTTTGTTGTGTGTGTGTGTGGGTCTGCGTTTCATGTGCAATGCTCACTCTCGGATCTCACTCGGATCTCTTTGATATATCCAAGATCTTGAAACATCTCTAAAGTACCTCTAATATCTCTCTATTTTCTCTCAAATCCAATTTCAGAATTTGCTCATCTCTCCCGTAACGATTCAATCTCTCCCACATCTCTCACATTTCTCATTTTTCATCTCTCTCTCTCTCTCTCTCTCGTTTTTGCGATCCTCTCTCTCTCACACACACAGTGAAACGGCAGCGGGGTACCTGCTCGGGTCAATACTGGCTGGCTACTGGTGCATTGGTCCCTGATGCGCGTGTGCGTGTGCGTGTGTATAAGCTGCTGCTTTGTTTAGGGAGGGGCACATTGGTAGCGTGGGCATGAATTTTGAACCATTTGGAGCCGAGTCCTCCTCCTCCTCCCGCCTCGCCTTGAGTTGCACCGCAACGCTGCCCTTTGCGCCTCGAGTCTGATCCAGCGGGCACGGCCTGTCACTCCACACACACACACACACACACGCACGCACACACACACACGCGCACACTATACACGCACCATACACACACACACACACACACACACACACACCGCTCGGTGTTCATTGCGTTTGATCTGGCCCTCTTTGCATGCATCTTTTGCCTGATGGCTGCGAGCTCGTCATTGTCGCATTGCCAATCGGATACCACCACCACCACCACCACCAGCGGCAGCACCACCACCACCAGCAGCAGCGTCTCTTCACGGTGCACGTCTGGGCCAATGCCTCCAAGCCTCTGGTGACTCGTCCATTTTACTTGTGCCGACAGCTTTGCCCTGTCGCCGTGCAGACGCCTGCCAGGCTCATCGTGCTTCAATCACAGCTGAACGATCTGCGAGCCACACTCGCTTTCGACCGTCTGTCCTCTTTCACACAGAGACACCCGCCACCATGTTGGAGGATCTTCCCGTCGACGTGTGGTACCACATCTTCCCACACCTCAGCTGTCGCGACATGGCGGCGCTCACGTGCACCAGTCGACACCTACACAACATGACCAGCCAAGTCCGCCATCGAGCCTGGATGTGGCAAGTCAAATCTTTCTTTGAACCGAGCTCCTCCTTGCTCGAGATTGTTCCCTTTCTCGACCTCGTCAGCTACCTTAGCTCCCACCACCTCCGCCAGCCGACCCTTGCGGGCTACTTGCCACTCTCTGATAGCCCAAGCAGCAGCACCGGCAGCACCTACAGCACCGACAGTGCTGGCAACCCCCACCTCAATCAGCACGCCTCGGGCCCCGGCCGACGCCACTCCCCCCCTCGGTCAGGCTCCAATGGGGCCGACAGTCGACCGATAAACTCAGCCGCCGCCGACACGGGCATGGATACAGACACGGACGCTCACGCGTACGCCCACACGGACACGGACACGGACACCGAATCAGACCCGGAGACAGACCCAGAGACAGAATCGGACGCTGACAAGGACATGGAAACCAGGGCCGGCACAAGGCGACCCCCGGTCCACCTCATCGCCGCCGAATTTGATGTCTTCATCGCCCGCATGGCTCGAGACGCTCCCCTCCATGATCTCCGTCTGCTCCTCGTGGCCGCTGCCATCAACCACATCCCCTTTATGAATCACGTCCTTAAAAGCACCGAACCCGCTCTTCTTCGCTGCCTGGAAGTTCATGCCGCCTCCCTCGAGGCCGGCCGGCGCCGTCACCCCCTCCCCGTCGACCACGCCCGACTTCTCGTGCTCGAGGCGGCCGGTCGCATCGCCTGCCGCCAAGGCCACGTTGGCCTCGCTCGAAACATCCTTCGCATCTGTCTCAAGTCCCGCCGCATCCTCGCCCCAGGCAGTCGGCGCGCTCTCCTGTGGTACCTCGCCGCCTGCCGCAGTGGCTCCCTAGAACTCGTCACTGATCTTGAGGAACCCTTGGGCATTACCCAAGACATGCTGGAGCAATTCTGCCAAGAACGCTTTTCCATGGGCTTTAGCCCGTACTGGCTCCAGGACAGCAATCCCCGCGAAGCCTGCCCCCTCACCACCTCTGCCCCCGTCCTGGATCACCTCCTCGTGGCTCAGAACCTCATTGGCAATGATGATGCTCGCCGAGGCCTACTCATGGACGCCGTCCTGTCCTCCCCGCGCTCCGATCACCTCGCTGCCCATCTCATCCAAGCCTATCACCTCGCCGAACAGTTTGCCACCGTGCAACAAGCCACCGTTCCACAAAGCCGGCGCTCCTCCACAGACGCCATTCGAGCACGAAACCTCCTCGGATTTCCTGGTCAACGCCGCGCATCACACGAGGGTCTGCAGAATTTTGCCTTCGACGAGGAACAGGCCGAAGAGGCCCTCGCTGCCACGCTCCTACCTCCGCTCCCGCCCCACGGCCTCGCTCGGTACGTTCCTCCGCTCCCTCATTGCTCGGCTCCCTTGCCCATCAGTGCACACCGCATCTTCTCACGACGCAACCCCACAGACTATTGCAGAGCCTGGCGCGCTTTGGCGACGTGGACTGCATGGAACTCTTCATCCAACACTACGGGTCAACATTCACCGACATCTTCCCTTCTAGTGCTGGCCACCTCTGGCGCGAAGCCATGACCATCGCTGAGGATCATGGCCACACTGACTTGTTCGCCAGCATGGGCGAGCAGCCTTTGGCGCAGAAAAATCTCCGCCGTGGCAGTCTGACCGCTACCCCTCGCCGCAACTCGGCACCGGTCCAGCTGATGGCCCCTACATCACGTCGTCCAATCTCGCCCTTTGTTCTTCACGCCCCATCTCGTGCGCGCCACCCTTCCCCCCTGAGAGCCATGGGCATGGTCCGCATCTTCAAGCGTCGTCAATCTCTCCTTTGAGCCCCCGCCCCGAAAAGCCGAATTCGGATGACGCGTCCCCTCGAATTTTGCTTGTGTGTGAATAGTTGACAAGTTAACACATTGTTAACTCGTCGGCATCCTTTCCAGATTCAGCCTTATTCCCGATTTCCCTGACCACAACTTGACCTGCGTCCTTTGCGCTTTGAAAGCGAACTTCTCATTTTAGTGCAAGTCAATTGATCGAATTTTTGTTGATCAATGCTTGTCAATGCCCACACATCGCCGGCCATTTGATGCCTGTTCTGCGCCCTCTCCAACCAACTCATCCAACTTGGAGGTGACTTGAGAGCGGGCAAGCATAGCAATACGTTGATTGATCTACTAAAGCGCAACCACAAGGCCGCAACTTGTTGCGACAGGACGAGAAGAAAAGAGAAAGGGTGCAAGGAATTATGTAAAACACGAACAACAACAACAACAACAACAAGGCGATGCACGACAGTGGCAGAAATCATACAATGCACATCACAAACATCGCATGTGTGCGTCGGAACAGGCAATCCGTAACGGTGGCCCGACATTCATGGATTGCTGCATCACAACAAGCTTCAACACAAACTTGAATAATTATCTTTGCCAAGCACGGCTGGTAGGCGCAGTCCCCCAAAAAGGCAATGTGCAAGCACTTGGTCACGTGCACCAAAATGAATCGAACAAGCTCATACTCAAACCTCTGAAATGAGCTCATCTGCTCGCCCTTTGGAGGACTGGCGTGTCGGGCCGTTGCTGGCGCCATTGTTGTGCGCATCTGACAACGACACTGCCGCTGCATCTGGCCCAGCTGAAGAGGCCTCAGATTGCGCTTCGGACTGAGATTTGGGCTTTGAAGTGGTGGGTGGGTGCTGCACCTCAGGCTCTGGCTGGGTGGCAGGGGCCGATTTGGCTGCGTTGGTCTTCTTGGCGTGGCCGCGACTCTTGCCGCCACTCTTAGCCCCGTGTCCTTTGGCGGCCTCGATCAGTGCCGCCTCTGCCTCGAGCGCTGCCTGGCGTGCAGCTTGACGGTCAGCCTTGGCCTTGGACTCCTGTTCTGCTTGTTCGACGAGCTGCTGCTTGCGCAGTCGGACAGCACGCGTCTCTCGTACCTGACCAGGCTTGGTGCGAGGCTCGCTTGGGCTCTGGATGGCACTTTTGGGACGAGCAGGGCGAACAGGGCTCTTGGCATGCGGGCTATCACTAATCACTGCACTCTTGGGTCGAACGCCCTTCTTGCGTGATGGAGACGGTGAAGCCGAAGGCTTCAGCTGGCCCTTGGGCGGACCGATGGCACTCTTGGGTCGTGATCGGCTCGAAGCCGAGGCGCTCGACTTGCTACTGTTGCTGCTGCTGCTCGCACCGCTCCCATTGCCGGGGTCAGAAGCAGTTGAGCTTTGCGAGGTTAGTCCCACAAAGCGCGGGTGCTGTGGCTTGTTTGATTCTAAAGCATTCGCACCCATCCCATCCCACAGATGTGAGGGTGCGCCATGATTTTTCAAAAGCCCTCTCAAGAGTCCGAGCACTCCTTGACCCAAAAAAAAAAAAAAAAAAAAAAAAAAAAAAAAAAAAAAAAAAAAAAAAAAACCTGCCCTCTTTGCAGCTAGAGCAAAAACCCACCGCTTTTTGTGACCGTCATGTCACGCGGCTTGGCAATGTAAGCGGCCACCTTGGACTTGACGTGCCGCACGTCAATGGCTTTTTCTAGAAGCATTGGGATTGGAAATTTAGCGACAAAGCAGGGCTTGCAGAACAACAACGCACCATGCCATTATCGGTACACGGCATCAAAGGCGCGGGACTGGCACATACCGCCATTGAGGCCCACAAACCGGCGATGCGCGGTCTTTCGCCGTACCGATGCCACTGGGAAAGGATAATAGGTGAAGCAGGGTGAATCTTCTCATTGTTCAAGCGATGGACCCCAAGTGATGGACCCCAAGTGATGGACCCCTCTTCAATCCCACCCCAATCCACAACGCGGACGTACTGCCTTCACGACTCGAGTTGGTTTCGAGACGCTCCTCGATATAGGCCTTGATCTTGGATTGCACTTCTTTGCGCTTGCGGCGCACGGTTTCACTCCGACGGCTAACGACATTATCAGCCCGACTGACGTCCTCTTCCTCGGGCGCAGGTGTACCAACTGCGTAACGCAAAGCAGAACGTCGAGGGTGAGCAGCACGAAACCAAGAGGTGTGGTGGCTGCGCAGTGGTTTGGAGCGACGAGATTAAAACCAAAGGAGCCAAGTCACTCACTGCGAGGTTTATCAAAGACCACGGCGTCATCCTCTTCCGGTGCGCCACCTGTGTGCCAGGGTTATCGTCGTAAGATGGCAACATTTCAAAACTCTTGCCTTATCCCGCAAGCACAAGGAGCAATGCAGCAGGCGTGTACCTGCAGAAGCATTACGCCGGCTTTCTGCCTCAGCAGCCAGGTCCTCAGCTTGCATGCCCCAGATTTTGCCATCTTGAACAAGCTGTTGCACGATCATGAGCAGGTAGCGATAAACAAAATGAAGCAAGGAAGAACGCCAGCAGGTCTGTCCGACGAGTCGAGCCCGCCACGACGACGCACCTCGATATCAACAAGCATCGATGCAAATGCGATGGGTTTGTTGTGTCCATCATATAAGGGAGCGTTTCGGATGCCGGGGCGCAGGGCAGAGAGAGGCAGGGCCACTTGACCCAGAAGAGTGCCTTTGCGGCCGTTGAATGTCACCCTATGTATAATCCGAGCACGGGACACAGGTGCAGCGAACATTGCCGTTGTGATGAGCGCTTGTCCTGTCGGTCCATTTCATGGCGCCTGCTCCCACTGTGACACATTACCCAAAAACACACGTACATGAGCGTGGCGAGCTCCGGAAAGAAAACATCGGCTTCTTGTTCAAAATCAAAGCTCACGGCAACGGGATTGCACGAGAGATGAGCGGAAGTTTTCTTGGCAGAGATTTCGTCAAACAGCGTGCCGCACAGGCTGAACGTGGCTGTGACACTACCCCGATGTGCGTCCAACATGGGCAAGTGCCGGGCCTCCAGCAAGCGAAACCGAAATAGAATCGGGTTGGCGCGATCCAGGCATTCATCACTCAAAGGATCAAATTTGGCCTCGGGGTCGCGCAAGTAACTGGGCTTCAGCACATAGCCCGCGCCTCCGTTGCGGTCGAAGAAGCCGCGGTTCAACCACATGCTGGTGTCGGAGGTTTGCCAATTCAGCGCCACCATCTGCACGCCCACGTTCCAACACACCTAAGAGATGGGGGACTCAGATGAGCGTCAAGATACCGATCCCAGCCGCTTTTCAGCATCAAAACAAGCTTTTCAAAGCTGTTGCTAGAAAGAAAGAAAGAAAGAAACGGAATACAACGGGCCCTGTTCGAGCCAAGAATTCACACAACCTGGGGATCATAGTTGGATGAGTTGATGCGCGTGCCCTGTGGATAAACCCTGATATTCTACATGACGGGAGAGGGTAGAGAAGGCCTGTGAGCTCGCAGTGGGCCAGTGTACGCCAGGCAAGCGCCAGGGGCGACACATGTGCACGATAAACGGCCGCTTTTGCTCAGAACCTACATTGCGACAGCAATGCGCCACCATGTGACGGGATTGCTTTTGCACAAAGCGCATGAGCTTCTTTTCAGAGAGTGAGCTCATTTCGTAAGCGGCCTGTGGCTTATCTATCGTAATCATACGAAGTAGTGGGGCAAGAGACATGCATCAGTTGACCAGCAAAATACAGCTTATTAGCCGCTGATGGGAGAAACGAGGGAGGCGAGTTGTTTGTGACGCACTTTTTTCAAAGGTATGCAAGCGTACGCTTTGGAAGTACACGGCAAGCTCCAAGAGTTTTTGTGAGTAGACGCTCTTTTCGGCACCGCGCACGTGCTCACGCTTGAGCTTTGTAAGGCGGCGGAGCTCAATCACCCATTCGATGGCGGATGCGACGTCGCGGGTGGCAAAGATGGTGCCGTCAACGATTCGTGTGCTGGAAATGGGGGCGTACAGGACGGCGACGCCACAACCAGGTTTGACGCCCATGTCGTGACAGAGCTGATCGGGAACGAGGTGCACTGAGGCTACGGTCAAAAGTGACACCACGTCCAAGGCTGTGTTGGAGCCGCTGAGCGAGTCGGAGCCAAAGATGTCCTCCATGTCATCGCGCAGAGTGGCTTCTTCCATGTTCTCATCCCCATGAGCTTCGTCCATGGCGGCGCCGTAAACCAGGATATCCTCCGTCAGCATACCAAAGCAGAGGGGCCAGTCCTTGGGCACAGGCTCCGTGCTGGCAGAAGCAGGAGTTGACGGGGCGGCACCCAAATCGGATTCAAGGTTGTCACTGGTCTCCTGACGAGAGAGGGCACTACTACCCACCGGGGTGCGTTCACCAGAACGCCCCGAATCGTGGTTGACCTGGCCGACCTCCAAATTGTCGCTGTCGGTGACAATGCGCGGCAGGTTGTCGCTCGCGTCAGCCTCGCCGAGCGCGTCATCCTCGTTGGTGTCTTCGTGGCTAGGGTCGTCGTTCTGGTCCAGATTGGCGCCGTCACGAATCCGCAGAAGCATCTCCTCCTTGATTTCAGGACACATGTGTACGTAGCCACGAACAATGCGGGTGGCGTTTGAGTCGAAGCCCTGTACAGACGCCTCGCTGGTGTCATCTGACTGGCGGTGGCGATTCGAATGGGCCTTCCATTTGACAAGAATGCGACGTTGGAGGGCAAAAGGAGAGGGGAGACTCTTCATGTTGTCGTAGTTGCCATGAAGGGGTGCACTCACAAGGAGGCTACCGAGTTCCTCTTGCAACATCTCGGCCAAGCAGTCTTGCTGCGTTTGGTTGCAGTGGATCTCCAGGGACAGGATGACCGGATAGGAGCACGTCTCAAACGCATGTGCGCGGATGGTGCGCAAAGCCGTGCGCACGGGAAATGTGGTGCAGAAGGCGCCGCCGTGCGTGATGATGGGCTCAATGTCACCGTCCCACACGTCGAGTTCGATGCAGCGGCAACCTTGGCGCAGAGCCAGGGCATAGGCGTCTGGGTCACTAATATCCATGACCTGTCGGCCAATGAGATAAGTGTTGTGGGAAGAGTTGATAAAGTACTCATTCAAAGGGCGTGTCATATCGTCCGTGGGACCGTCCAGTGCCCGGGGATGAAGAACGGAGTTGTGGCTGGAATGCAAGCCGAGCAGAAGTGCTTCCCGACTGAGGGACCGATGCGAGCCCGTGGTGGTGCAAAGACGCACCATGTTTTCTGCAAAAGCCTGGCAGCGGGCCAAAGTTTCGCGCTGGATGTGGCGCCATGCAGCCTCAAACCAGGCATGAGGCATGGCACGACTATCTAGATCAAGGGTGCGTTCAGCATCTGCCTGCTCCCCGGCACTGTTGGCGCCGGTGGGGGCGGGGAGGGTGGGGAGGTCGGCTTGTTGCAGGGCCGCTGGGCGCAGGAAATATGTGCCAAAGTCTTTTGCCAGGATGGTGAACAACTGTGGCTGATCCAGGATGAAGAGGTGGGCGACAATAACTTCGAGACCAAGCAGAAACTTGCGACGCCAAGCTTCAGCAGCGGCAATTTCAGCCAGAGTGAGGGCATCCCCACTGCTCTCCGAGCCATCGAGCCCCATTTCAGAGCCACTAGTTTCTGGAGCAGAGGATGTAGAAGCGCCTGCAGCCAGCGGTTCGGGCGCCGCGGGAAGATCAGGCTCACGCGCACTAATGGCATGAAGAGGGCCGACGGTGTTGGCGAGGAGCAGCTGCTGAGTTTTCAGGTTGATTTCAAAGCCCAGACTGGAGGCCAGGAGGGCCAGGGCGTGCGGGGCCAGGAGGGCCATGAGGTCTTCTTGCTCGCCCAGTGTAGCAATGTCTGGGTTGGCAGCCAGGCGCTGCGCGAGCAGCTCGTGCAGTGTACAAGGTTCAGCGGCTTCTGAGGACAAGAGCAAGGGCAGAAGGGCTTCATGCCAACGAGCCATCTCCTCGGCA